GTTTGTGTACGCGATAAAGTACCGAAATTACTAATTTTTTCGTTGTCACTCGAAAAAGTCACAATCGTCTTTTTAATAACTTTGGGAAGCTTTCACCAAAAACTGATAAAACTACAAAACCGTATTTTCTGAACTATAATTGCAATGGCCTCTAAATGATTTTTCAAAAATCTTTGAAAATAGGCAATAATATTTCTCATAAAAAGAGGGGAAATTAGAGGGTAGGGTCTTGAAATTTGAAAAAAAAATTTCGATGGGCACCCTAATGTACATACCTACAAATGTGTTAATAAATGTTTGTCTGGATCAAATCTTGCAATCAATTTTTAACCAACGCATATCTACAAAAAAATTAGCCGGCAGATGCCGCGAGGGTCGATATAATTCAAAAACCTGCATCTATGGTATGATTTAGTTTATATTTATTTAGAAAAAACTAGTGGGACTATTTTTTAAGAGGTATTTTTCATAATGCAGGCAGCATATATTATGAATTAGGACAACATCGGTGGATAAATATGACTTATGAATAACTCAACTCTAGCGCCGCCAACGATTTTTCAAGTTATAATCACCGAAAATTTTATTGAAATCTATCCAGTGGTTTTTAGTTGAGTCCGAACAACGAAAATGGCTATCACGAAAGCGTATAACTGTACAAAACATTTGACGATGGATATATATGGAAAATCCGTATTAATGGTTCGATTTGATTCACATTTAGAACGTGAACATTACTTAGATATGAACATGAAAATAAATAATTTCACAAAATATTTTGCCAGTAGGTGGCGCGAGGCTAGAAATATTTTGAAAAAACACATCCACTTGCCGATTTAGTTTATATTTAAAATAAGCATTACTTATGTATGTTTGTATACTTATGAAAAGAAAAAACTCCACAAAAAATTAAGTCCGAAAAAATTAGGCCGATATAAATGAAAAATCAGCATGGATGGTCCGATTCGGTTCATATTCAGAAATTTGTGCGTTTGTTTGTTTAGGTCAAATTTAGCACGTTGATAAAAAGTGTAACTAATAAGTTCAAAATATATAGAAAAAATGTTGAACAAAAATATATTTAACAAGTGCATTAAACCAAATAAAATAAAATAAGTCAAAGCATAGTAACCTTAAAAAACTTGACTTATTTTATTTTAGTTTATTTGTTTTTATGCACTTGTTAATAAAAGCTTATTTTAACCTTTTTTCTTTATTTCTACCAACAATTCCTGGCTGAAATATTTTACTTCAGACATACATATCGTCACCTTAATTAACAAAGCCCCTAACTAACAAATTTTTTTATTTTACAAGAGAAACAAAAAACATAATAAAATCAATATCAAAAAACAGGTAAGGGTTTTTTGAAAAGAGTAATGTAACTCCGTCGTCTTTGGTACTTAATAACACTTAAAAATTTTTGTTGAAGGTTTATTAATAAATACATACTTACAACTGTGAAAAACACAGTTTTGAAAAAAGTGTTGGTTAGGGTTGTAAATTAAGGTAACGATATGTAGGTACATTTCGTCACCTGAAATGCAAAATAACGTATCATCATCGTCACTAAAATGGAAAAAGTCGTTACATTTTTTTTTTCATAAAACGATGTGGGGAGTTGTAATTTGATGAAATCTATCACTTCGCATTTCAGTGACGATGATGATACATTATTTTGCATTTCAGGTGACGATATGTACTTGTGGCCACGCAAACCTTACTGCGACTTTTTTAATTTGGTAAAATTTTGTAAATTAATAACAAAAATATATTTTTTAATATAGTTCACACTGAAAAAACTTTATTTATTTATAAAACTATTCAAACTATGTACAAATTTAAAACAAATAATAAAATGTTCATCAGAATCAAAGTTTTGACAAAAACTTCTGGTATGCAGTTTAATAGCCCATTTAATTTTAGTATAATATTGTGCAATTTTGAAATGGTCCAAAATTCTCGATGATTTTGGAAAATTTTTCCAGGACGATCTTGTTTATTTTTTTTTTCATGTGACGCATGCTCGCCTTCTTTTATATGGAAAAAAGTTGTCAAAAATCAACGAGATATTTGAGTTAAATACATACATACATACCAGGGACGTAGCGAATATTTACATTCGCATTCGTTATGCGAATGATTCGCGTAATTTTACTCATTAGAATTCGACATTCGCATTCACATCAAACGATACGAATGTTTTGCGAATGAGAATGTGTACATGGACAGAGAGTTGAAATGGCTCTAAGTCTGTCTAGCCTGCGTGCGAAAAATAACCGGCTTTTAGCTTCAGGCGCTAAACGGTTAAGTAGTATATCAAGCAACATGGATGGGCCTTCAACAAGCAATGCTAAAAGTCTTATAAGCAGCCTAGAAACAAACTTCAGATTCCTCCAGCGAAAGCGAAGGCTCGGATGTAGAATTGGAGACATAAAAATGTGAAATTAAAGCTCAATTGAAGGCCTATCCTAAGAAACACGAGCTCTTTTCAGTGAAAATCTTCTCAATTTTTGGAAAACTAAACTAAAATACGACAAATTGACAGATCTGGCCCGCAAATATTTGAGCGATCCACCCGCCAGCGTTCCAAGTGAGCAATTGTTCAGTGCAGCCAGCCTTATATACGAACCTCTAAGAAATCGCCTCATGGAAGAAAAGGCAGCAAAATTACTTTTTTTGAAATATAATATGCCCCTTTTTAACTTTGACTACTAGATTAAAACACTGTATAGGTTAAGCACTCGTTCAATGTTCTAATAATTTACAAAATTTTTAAGTAATAAAAACGATGACATAAGTTGAATGTAAAAAATATGATATTCGAAACATCCCTAATACATACATAAGCATGTACATACTGCCAACTTGCACTTTATTATACATTATTAAATAGGCTTCCCTAAAAAATTTTTATTAAAAAAAATTGTAATAAGGTTTACGTGGCCACAAGTGTAGATACATGTGTATGTACATATGTACAATGTACTGTGTGCAAATGTATTTTCCTTAAGCAAATAAGGCTGTTATGCACTCTCTTCAATAACCGGAAGAGCACTGGTGATTTCCTTTACAAATTCTCAACAAAAATGTCGCCTGCCGGATGCGTGCCCGATAATGAAAAACCAATGAAAAAACTACATAAAAAGGTGTAAGAATAAATGACCAAAGTCATTTTTATCGGAAAATACAATTTTATGAATAGTAAATGCATAAGTACAAACATGGAACAATTTTAGTAGGTAATCTCACAAATACACTTTGCACGAGCCTTCTCTAAGAAATCAACTGCTTCGAAATAAAAGTAACTCACCTTCAATTTATCAGCAAAGTAGCTGCAACACTGCTCCTTTTCACTAAAATTAGTTTATGTACATTCTCATTCACTTTAAACCACACATTTTTACATTTTATTTTCATAGATATTTGATAGCGTCGACTGTGACGCTTCCTTAATTTCACTTTCAAAATAAACACACACAAACTACAGCTAGCACTAATTGTTTGCTTTTACACTCGAGACAACTTGCGCTATTATCACTTTAATACAAAACAACGGCATTAGCAAGAATATTTAGCCACAAATTTACAATTTTTCACTAGCGACAGATTTGCAGCAGAATTTTAGCACGTGCGGAAAAATAAACTGACAGGAAACGGTACTTGCCGCCAACTGCTTAAACGAACACAGGGTGGCACGCGTGATGTAGAATAGTTTTTAGGTGGATTTTAGTAGCGACCTTTTAAACAAAACTAGCACACAATTGTAATTATTTATTAAAGTAAAATTCACCCTTTTTGAGGTAACGTCTATAAGTAACTCAAAGCTCTCAATATTAAATTTCTATATTAAAAAACAATGTCTGTACATTACTATGTATTTGTCCACATCTTTCGTTTCTTATGTACTACATTGTAGGAAATGTTACCCACACATACATCCAGACGAGAATCCTTGCCGCAGGACAGGATATTTTTTCCAAGGATACTCTTAGCCGGAAAACGAGCGGAAATGATGCGGATTTAGGTGCGTATGGGTAAATATTTTGGAATATCTAGTTGAACTTAAAATACGTATGAAATCCTAGATATGTATGTATCGCAATTTCACACCTCAACTTCGGGGCATAAATGGGATATGCACTTCGTTGGATGTATGTATCAGTAGCCATAGAACCCGGGGCATAGTACCAGTGTTTGTAAGCTAAACAAATTTATTTATTTTACGTGTATGGCGGCAAACATATTTACATACATACATGCAACATTAAGATGATTGTATATGTACATAGATACATACGTATGTGCACGCAGCCTTGAATAAAGCGAAACTTATGTACATGCATACATACATATGTATATACCGACTTAATGGTATCTTAAAATTTCTTCCATAAAAGCCTTTTTCATTACGTTGTAATTTGACAGAGGTCGCATGTATAGATACATGTAAATGTGGTTATAGCGTTACCTTAAAACGAGAATTTAATTGTATATTTAGATGTGTAGGAGTGCTCTTCCCACGGATTTACCTTTTACGCGCGCTAGATTCCCTCCTAGTCACGTGTATGCCTCAATTCGCTTACTAATTAGGCACAGATGAATCGCTAATGAGTGTTTAATATCGCTTCAACCGCTGATTAAACTGGCGTTGACAGGTTTGTGCAATCAACTAAAGATGGAAAGAAACTTGCAAATAGGTATGTTATTATTCTACAGTTTGTTTAAGGGGAGACGCTGCACAGTGCTTTGTCCCATAGGCAAATTTAAAATAAAATAAAGTGCTTAAGATATTTAACATTTTTGTAAAGCTAACATAGTACCTAGGATGTGTGGGAGGTAGTTATGTCCTTGCACCGATATTGCCGAAACTTGGAAATTTTCTTAATTTACATATTCTGAAGCAGCACTAGAAATTTCATTTTTCTGCGATAACTCACCTAATTTTGCCGATATATGTTGACTAGTTTTATAGTACGTATGTGTATAATAACAAAGAAAAGACAGGCCACAATGCCGTTTGCACACACAATTGTTATTCTGTTTTCCAAGGTGCTTATCAAAGTTAGTTTTTTCCACCTGAATAATCAAATATTGCAAAGGCACACTCCTGCAGCATATTTGTCTGTTCGTTCTAAATTGCGCCTCTGCTCTATGTAAATATTCGCGCGCGTGAGATACTTTATTATTAACCGACTTCCAAAAAAGGAGGAGGTTATCACTTCGTCGGAATATTTTTTATTTTATTTTATTTATTTATTTTAATTTTATTTCTTATTTTATTTTTTTTATTTTTTTTTTTTTTTTTTTTATTTTTTTTTTTTATTTTTTTTTTTATTTTTTTTATTTTTTTTTTTGAAATGAAAATCATGTATGTGACCGCATAACTTTGGACCACGTCAACCGATTTCGATAATTCTTTTTGCAGCGGAAAGGTAGTGTCTCAGAGGTGGCTAAGATCCGATGAGTGGATCATGAGATATATACATATTTTTTTTTATGAGAATTGAAGTCGGATTTTTTTGTTTTGCTAAAAATGCTAAAAATTACTTGTTTTAATTTTAATATTCACATACCTATGAGGTTTTCTGGTATTTATTTCATTCAACACACCTCTACATGCTGTGGCTGTTCTAAATTTCGCATTTTTCCGCAATTGTTAACTCACTGCTGATTTGTTTGTGAAACGTGCTTAGAAGTGTTGGCACGCATCATATTTGTTTTCACAAAGTTGCCTGGTTTAGAAACTTTTTAACACCTTGATAAAAAAAAAAGTTACTTAAAATCATGCACCCATGAACGACTTAAAAAATTTCTTTTAAAGCCAATTTCTCTGAAATATAAAGCGGCATAATTGCTAATTGAAGACAGGGTGCGTTCAGAAATGCATCAAGCAAATGCATCAGTATCTTTTACTTCTAAACTATAATTGAAGGAGATGCCTTATTTTCGCAATTATGTTCCAATCAGGCATTAAACCATGGTTGGGCATATTGAACATTTCCATCCACAATAGTTTAGAAATAAAAGTAACTGATGCTTTGGCTTGATGCATTTTTTAACACACACATACATGTGGCATATAACAACTAGATAGTATATATTGACGTTTTAAAAGCCTAAAAATATACAATGGTTTCATCAAACATTTTCGATTGCAGTAATCGCAACTACATAAAATACGACAATTAAACATTGAAATGAAAACTTAATACTAAACCCATTTCAAGGCTATTCAATTGAAGAGCGCAAACAATAAGCGTAGTAAGTTTGGTACTCATTTACTCGCTCGCCGTTACATTTAAATCCGCAGTCGTGGACTCACTACCTCCACCACCAACTACTTCCTGCGCACGACTATTGTGCCACCAATCGATTGTGTAGGCACGCAAGCTGGACAGAGCCATTATGGTGGACGCGTCCACATCCTCACCCGCGGCATGTAATCCACGACAGTAGTCCTCATGCGCAGCCGCGCCAGCGCCACCGAACGCCATAATGCCCTCAATGTCCTGCACTAGCGTGGGATAGTGCTTGCCGGCGCATTCAATCAAGTTCGCCAACTGCGACTCAGACATGGCACGATACTGACCGCTCGTCGTCTTTTGTAGCACATTCATGAGACGCGCAAAGTTGTGTGGCGAAATACGTGCTGACAGGTGTGGTAACAAACGCAAAACCAGCTGATGTAGTTCGAGTTTTATGTGTGCAAAATTATGAAACTCGCTGGCAAATGCCCGCACAGAATACCATAGATTGCTGAGCGTGCTTATGAGGCCCTCAATGACATCAAAGTGATAGAATTCTATAGTACTTATGACCGAGTTGAGCCAAGACAGCAGACCGACATGCTCGATCATTACTTTCGAGGAGGCGGGTATTTTTGCGCAAGTGGAGAAGACGGAGAGTATGAGTAAATTCATATCCAATGTGGACATGGCGCTGCCATAGAAACCCTGCAGCACTTTAAAGGTATTGGTGGTGACGAGCAAAAAGAGATCTGAGCCGGATTTGATGCCATTGCGTATGACCTCGACAATGAACTGGCGGAAGGCTTGGTGCTCTATCTCGGGTGAGTAGAAGAGCACATTGAACTCAGGCACGCACTGGAAATTGAAAGTGCTCTTCAACCGCAAATACATAGTCAGCTGCTTGTAGAGCAGGTGCGTGGGGTCGGTGGTCAAATTGAAGGTTTTAGCGACGAATAGACCTGAAATGTACGGCACACGTGGCGTTCCGCTGTTCTTCTTATGCTTCACCCATGATTCGCGCAGCTCGTTGAGTCCCGCCTGTATGTTGTCGTAGGCCTGCACCCACAGCGGGCGCTCGAAGAATTTGTTCGCCTCGAAATGTGCGCGGTACCGCAACTGCACACACCCGGCAGCTAAGCGCATGTCACGATCTTGCGACGAAAGCGCTGCAAACGATAACGCCAACAACCCGTTTTGTACTGGAGATGCTGGGTGCGAATAAGCTTCGGGAGCAAAACACATATTCATGAGCGGCACAAAGAAAGCTGGATCATAGCATTGCGTGTAGATGCGTGCCCGCACTGGACACAAACGCAATTCAGCCTCTACGAATTGCGTGCAACCACGCTCAATGCGGCATTCGAGCTCATTGCTGCCAAACTCCAGCGCTTTCATAGCCGGATCGCGGAACTCCACAATGGGTAGCTGCTCTGCGCTATTCAATTTCCGCCATATCGGAAAATTGTCGATTGTGTACTCGCACAGCTGGCGATCGATGAGCGACATCACTTGCGCAATGGACGTCTCCTGCAACGTTAGCTTGGCACGCTCCTCATCCGCAACGCGCAACGAATAGAAAGCTATAGCGCTTTCGCCCCAAATGAACGGGCGATATTGCTGCAAGCCACAGTCGTGAATCTCGTAGAGCTGTAGCAACGCCAAGGCGTAGCGATCGGCGTCAGATAGTTTCGCTTGATAGGCGCCTAAAATAATTGGTATTTGCGCTTCGTTGAGCGCTTCGGGATTCTTGAGTGCAAGCGTATAGAGCAGGTGGAGCACTTGCGTCTTAACTTGTGTTTCCCGCTGCGACAAAACGATGTCGAAAAACTTGGAATGACCGAAAATCATGTCGAATAGCTGAGCAGGCTCTGCTGGCGGTGGTTCAGCGTCCGTATTCGCTGAGTAGTCGACATAGAGCTTCTGGCAAAGGTATGCGAGCAGTTGTAGTAATAAGGCGTATGTGGCGTCTGACTGATGTGGAGCGGCAGCGTCGTCCGCGACATATTGCATGCCCAGCTTGAGGCAGAGCTTGCAGAAATTTAGCCATTGTTGATTCTTTAGCAGCTTCGAGAAGTCGGGTGCAAATTCAGCGTCATCTGTTGTAGCCTCGGTAGTTATAAAATCATTACTCTCATCGGCAGTGCTCCCACTCTTCTTCTTTTTCGCCGACCCCTTCTGTGTCTTTACAGCATGCCCTGCGGCGCACTCCGCGTTCGCCTGCTGCCACCAATCGTATAGCAGGAAGGCGCTTTGCTCCAGCTTTTCGGCATCCTGCAGCTGCTTTCTCAGTTCAATACTCAGCAGCTGTACCAGCAAGTTGACGAAATTCACAAATATAGTTGCACGCTGCGCGCTGTTATTTGTAGCTTCCTCAGCACTACCAATCGCTTTCTTGTAAATCGCATGTATTACGCGCAGCTGATACACCTCCAAGCCATCAAATTTGAACGATTTATTGCAGAAATCAAGGCACTCCGAACGCGGCATGCAGTGTTCGATCAAGGCAATGGAAACTCCCGCATGCTCCTTGTAGATAACACCCGCTTTTTGTGGCTTCTCGATAGTTTTCATGAAGCCACTCTTAAACGACTGATAGACGTTGTGCAATAGCACTGGCTCAAACATTAATTGTTTACGGAACGCTATATCCAGCAACGGGTAAGCAAGCTCTTTCTTATTAAGATTCTCCGGTAACAGCTGCTTGAACTCAGTGCCCAGCCGCTCATCACGTTCAAACAGCAGGCAAGCCAACTTGATGGTCGATTTGGCAATGCGGCGTTCAGTGAAGAAAGCGCCAAAGAAATTAACGCCCATCTGTGGTATATACTGATGCGCAATGCATAAAAAGCCATGTAGAGCCTCTTCCAGCTGTTCAAAAGCCATCTCGCTGCCAAAGCTATTTATAAAATTCAAGTACAACTTCACAAATTTTCGAATGAAATTTTCGCATTCCACCGGCCGACGTAATGCGGCCAAACGTTGAAGCGCGCACACTAAGAATTCATAATAGATGCTCTTCTGCAGGGTGTCCGCGAGCACAAAATCGTTGCACTTCAGTTGCGTCACCAGTAACTCAAGCACTTCCGTGCATTCGCTGGCGCGCAACTGCAAGGCGTGCACCAAGCGTACTGCATCCGCCAACTGTTCACTAGCCGCTTTTGTCTGTTCCACCTCCAGCATTGAGATAGCGATCGCTTTCACAACCTTCAGCCGACAATTCGTAGCATGCGTTTCAAAGTAAGAGTGTGCGTTGCAGCGTTCGGTGAGTAGACGCAGGAAAAAGAGGTAGCTCAGCTGTGAATCGCTGTTTGCGCTAAACAGCGCGGTGCTTTGTATGCGCGTCAAACGTAAATTGAAAATGTATTTGAATAAGTCATCCAAGAAATTGTAATCCTTTTCAATCTTTGTTGACACCGTTTGCTCGACTGTCACCTGCTCGTGCACTACTTCGATACAATCGCCCAGGAAGTTGGCCGCCGCCTCGGCTTGCTTGGCCGTAAACCGCTGCTTTTCAACCAATTGTGCCACGAGGAAAAGCGCCTGCTGTACGTAGATCATTATCAAACGCTTACTCCTGAATGCGGCGCTGAGCGTGACCGCCTCCCCGCGTAGCATCAACTCAAGTGGTCGCTTCTCAGGTTTTGCTGCGGCGAACATTTTTCCAAGTCTTACATCACCCTGCACCAGCGCGTCATGCAGTTGTGCTAAGGTGGTTAACCCTAACGGCAGTTTAGCGAACGTGAGCGATGGTTCCTTGTCGCTGCCAACTAGCCAGTCTGTCATATATTTTTCAAGTGCATTGAATTGTTGTTTGTACAGTTGTAGCACTTGTTCCGGGTTTGGGTAGTAGTGATAGAGCAATAGGCAGACAGTTTCTAAGTATTTGTCCAGCGGTGAAATAATCTCTACACCCTTGAATATGAGAGGCATAAGCTTGCTAATCGAAATACTTTCCACATAAGCTTGAACGGAGAGACCATTTTCGATGTTCTCAAAAAGTCTTTGCAAATTTTCCTCGTTTAGTTTGGATTCAGCTGTTTTGGGTATCTCTACATCTACTTTAGTTACCTGAGCCGGGAGAGAAAAAAACGATGTTAAAGTTTTTTTTTTTTTTTGAAAGCATACACGCACCTGCAGCACTTGGACTAAAACCTGTGTGACAACATCCACCGTTACTACATCGAAGAAACGCAATGCCTCCAACCACAAATCGACCTCCCAAATGCCAGAATCGAAAAGTCCAGTGTTTAAGAAAATTTTTCGCAGCAAATCACCCGCCTCAACGCTTACCTCGCTACTACCGTACATGAAAGCCTTGATGAATGATTTCAAAACGCTGCTAAAAAGCTTTTGATTCGGCTCCAGAGCCTTTGGCAACAGCAGCAATATAGTTTTGATGGCCTTCAGCTCTAATTTGATATTGCTTGTCTCGGCGGCGATATCTTCCGACTCATCGCCAGCATAGAGCGGACGCAACAGCTCCAAGTAATCTAAAATGGTGCTAGTCTTGTTCACAAACGACCGGTGTTCCTTGCATATAACCAATACTAAATCCAATGATATATCCAAATGCTCAAGCACATTGACTGTCTCATCATCCTGAGATTTTATAGATATGTTCAAAGAGAAAAGTATCTCCTCGACTGTGGGAAAATTCACCAAAATATGATTCAATATATCCAAGCGAAAGCGACGTAAGGAGTTCACATTTCCACGTGCTTCCTCACGCTTCGCAATCGCCGACATGTAAGCAGAATATTGCGAAAACATCGTATATAGCAGGCGGTTGGCAGCCACGCGGAATTGGAAGCTTTTATGACGTACCATTTTAGCTCCAGTTACGAGTGCCAACGTCTCGATAGGCAAGCAAACATCCTTAATAAAGTAAGTGCAATCGGTGAGTGTAATTTTGTCCAGCGCAGTGCGTAGCAGTTGTGGTTCCAAGGTGGCTATAATTTTAGTTAGAAAAGTGCAGGCGCCGATCCAATCACGCGAAGGGGTGCGCATAGGGTTTATAATACCTGCGAAGTGTCGTACGGTATGACGCCCAAGATCGGCGCAGGCAGTGAGTATACGTATTACTAGTTCGGTTTTACGTTCATCGCACCACGGCTTGTACAGCTGACTTATAAGTTTGCCTGCAATAATAAAGAATTGAATTACGCTGAATTAAAGTCATGCTGCTCACACCTACCCTGTATGGCATTGTGTTTCTGCCTGTAGTGAGTAACTGCATCGAAGCAAATACCATGCTTCCTCGATGTCAAGAGCAACAGCATAAATTCATGCACTACCTTAGCGACCGCATCTCTCTCCTCTGTATTCACTAAATCATTGTTTTGCTCCAGTTTAAGACGTGTCTGGGCGCCTTGCTTGCCCGAGCACTTCGCTGCATAAACTTTTGGTCCCTGCCAATCATAGAGGTGCGCGAAATTTCTACAACATTCAGCATCGAAAACATGTATCTTCTTTGTTTTCGATATCTCTGCACACTCGAGCACATATTTGCGCAGTGTGCTTACCACCACACAGACGGTAACATGATCATCATATTGCAAGCCCGAAACCAATGCGCGTATTAAGGCGCCACGATCGAGTATATTGCGTATTAGCAGCGTATTGCCGTCTACCAAATAGGCGAGCACAAAGTGTATGAAGCATTTGCGTACTGTCTCCGGTTCACGGAGCTCCAAATGAGAATGTGAAAGCAACTTCTCAATGGTCTTTACATTGGAGAGGACGTCATATGAGGCGAGCAACTGACGGCCCAATTTAGGGTCTACACAAACAATGGCAGTCAGTAGTTTGAGCGCTGTGCGGCGATGCTGTAGCTGCGTCGACTTAAGTAATAGGTCTAATACCGTGCCATGAGACTTGAGAAAATAGCGTGAGGCGTACACAGCCGATTCCATATGATCTTTTTGGTTAGAAACGATCTCCATCAACACAAGCTGCAGCGCCTGGCAGAGGTAGCCGATGTGTAGTAAATTGGTTTTATCTACGCGTTCTAACGCTTCGGCTAATTCAAGTGGTTTCCCGCGTTTCTCAATATATTTCGCAACCAATTTGGGGCGCGATTGCACGATATGTAAAAAGTGACGCAGTTCTGTAAGAACAAAGTTGTACTTCCCTAACTTTAATATAAATTGCAAATTGTATCGTTACCTGTTATGAAGTTATTGCTGCGTAGCTTAGTGCGAAAAAGTAGCATTTTAAAATCTTTCGGAAAATTTAGCTCTTTCTCTTCAAAGCCAGAGTCGTGTTCCTGTATTGTATCCGTCTGCTGGGCACTTCCCAAAGCATCCGCTTCTTCTTCATCTCTTTGCTCTTCAACGTCGTAACTGGCATAATTTTCTACTTCCTCTGCTACTTGTAACTGTTGTTCCTCGGCAGCGGAAGCATTATTCTTATTCTTTTTAATTATTTTATTGTCCTTTGCCTTCTTGGCCACTTTCTTTGGCACTGCAACTTCCCCATCGTCGATGGCCTCCTCGCCTTCTTGCTGCGTGGATTGATGCTTACGTTTCCTTTTATTCTTTGCTTCAATGGCCATTTTCTACCAATTTTAAATAAAATATATATTTAGTGCACTTTAATTAACGAATGTTTAGAATTTACAGTTTTTATTTGTAGTTAAAACGCGTGTAACCACCGTCAGACATGTGCTAGAGCTGGAAAACTATCGATGGCACTATCGTTAGTATCGATGGATTATGACTATCGAAAACATCGATGGTTTTGTAAGCACTATCGATAGTTCACAGTTCAAGTATTGAATTCAATTGGCTCGAATGTGGAAGAGAGGGGGTGAGAAGAAAAGGGACGAGTACACATGCGTCTGTACCGTCAAGTCGTTTCAACTTTCTTGCTTTACTTTTGGCATTTTCGTTGCTTCCCATTTAAAGAACCAAAAATTTGAATTCAACTGAATTGAAACGTGTAAAAGCAAATAGAAAACACAAAAGAGAATGAGCAAGAATTGCTTTCAAGTACTTGAATCATGTAAATCGGGTCATACATACATTATTTAGTAAGAATAAAAGCCGGCGGTAACTACTTTATCTTTTGATGTCGGAAAGGACATTTAGCAAAGCAGGGCAAATAATTTCAGAGCGCAGATGCTGCTTGAAGCTAAAAATCCTTGATAAACTTTTGTTCCTTAACAGAAATATAGACATATTTCTCATTTTCAATAAAAGTGGTTATGTTATTTTAGCGTAGTGTTTATTTTATCTGCTACAACAAAAATACAAAAATACGAAAAAACACACACTTTAAGTATTAACCAAAAAACAAATATATATACAAATATAACAACAAATTGAACTAAATGAAGGCCTGTATGCAGTTCTCAAGAAAAGCTAAAATTCAATACAAAATTACGTACAAGAAATGGCTAAGAAATTTTCTTAAGTCAAATTTCCTTCAGGCAGTACGCAGTTCTTAAGAAATTTGCTACGCTTTTTACTACGATTTTCTAAAGTTTTTTGTGAAAAAAGAGCACAAGGCAACCCAGGTTTGCAATATAAATATAAGCCCGTTCCATTTTTTCTTGAGGAAAGAGTGAGGCAACAGGCTGTGAAGTATCAAAAATGTCAAAATTCCTTGGACAAACACACGAAATAATGGCAAATTTTTCTTGACGGATTTCTTGAGAGCTGCATACCAGCCTTGAAAAACCAACTCATTGCTTATGTTTAAGTATTCGACCTTTTTAATCAAAACTATCGGTAGTTGTGACTATCGACTATCGATAGTTTTCCAGTTCTAACATGTGATCCTATTTGGCGTTTTCTTAGTGATGAAACGATACGAGTAAATACAAGTACATAATCGATACTTTTCGTTCGATACTAAAGGCCATGCCAGATATTTACGTGATACTTATAACTTTGCCAGCAAAGCGCAAAACTCAAAAATATGCCACAATGAACGCAAAGAAAACAATTTTGTAATGCTGTTTTACTCGATAAAATTGCTTTGAATTATATATATATATATCTTCAGTTTTGAAAATATCAGCAGTGTTTTTGAGTTTTACGTTTATATAGGAAATCTCGAATTTGGACCAAACAAAATAAAATATAAACCAGATGATGCTCAACGTGCGCAAAAAAATGGCAGTTTGCCATGTGTCCGCTACGCGCTGCAGTTAAAACGATCTACATATGTGGTATGCTGAATGCATTTTCATACATTTCATCTTAGCTGTCAAGCGAATCTATCACGAAAAGCGGATCAAGCGTTTTGTCTCCCATCAGCTTAAGTAAGTTTGGTATCGATACGTTCGAGCCATCGATACTAGCTTTTCCTACTACCTGCAAGTAAAAGCATCGATACCTGCATGGTATCGTTTCATCTCTAGTTTTGTTGAAGGCCCTTCCTCTTCTTCTTTGTTTATCTTTCGTGCTTATAGCCC